CTCAATCGCCATTAAACTACATCCCCTTCTGTATTGTTCAGTGATCATACTACGTGTTTATATCGAGTCTATGCATCAGCCACATGTTTTGTAGAGCTAGTGCGTGTTTCTTTTATGAGTTTTCAGCTGCTATCATATTTTTAAGTTGATCTTACAAGATTTTGTCTGTTACAGAAGACAGTTACAGATAAGATGTACTTTTTTGTTTTTCTGATATAAGAAGTGCGTTGTTGACGCCAGTTTAAATAAAAGATACGTCTTGGTATAAAAAAAAACAACACAAAGTCTTTGTAATAAAGAATGTCTGTATCGCAATAAAGTCGTATTTTCACCTGTATCGTGATATATTTTTACAAAAAACAAACAATATGCAAATAAACTGTAACAAAATGACAGTTTAGGGAATACTTCCTTACATTTTTTGAAAAGATGAAGAATTGGATTTTTCCACGTACATAATTATTTAAAGTTAACTTTCTTAAGTGCAAAGGCACACATTTACACTAGTGTCAAGCTATCCAGCAATTCTCATCCTGCAATTCTCTTTATAAAAAGCTATCCTGCAATTCGTCATCCTGCAATTGCGTTTGGAAAACTACTTGAGCGACAATTTTATTTTTCTTTAGAATCATAGTTTTTGACTTTTTTGTTCGAAAACAATATTTATACAGAAAATCAAAGATTTTTATATCCAATTAACAAAATTCTAAAGTTAGTTTGCAGATTTCTAACTCATATTTACGGTTTTGTAATTAGCATTTACAATAAAAAAATTATGATGAAGATCCAAACAAAGTATTATCTGTTAAGTCCAGGATGTGATTCGTATTAACGCATGTTTAACCCACATTTGCGACTTTCGAAACTAATATTAAAGACTAAAAATAAAGAATTTTGATGTAAAATAATTTTTTCATGGTATACCCGACAATACAACTTCTATTTGAAACTGGGTCACCCACTTTCAAACCCATTGCCTCGGTAGTTCTTTATGGCTAGGGATTATAGACGCTGCCCTAATGAATAGCTATTGGATAGTACTACAAGGTGAGGGAAAAGAATTTCTGGGGTAAGCATTCTTAAAGGTCGAAAATTTCGCCCGTATCACGGAAAAAAAGTCAAATTTGATAAAATCCGCATTGGGGTCACCCACTTGTTCAAACCCATTGCCTCGGCAGTTCTTTATGGCTAGGGATTATAGACTTTGCTTTAATAAATAGCTATTGGATAGTTCTACGCCGAGAGGGCAAAGAATTTCTGGGGTAAGCATTCCTAAAGGCCGAAAATTTCGTACGAAACATGGAAATAAAGCCAAATTCGATAAAATACGCATTGGGGGCACCCACTTTACGACCCATTGTCTCGGTAGTTCTTTATGGCTAGGGATTATAGACGCTGCCCTAATGAATAGCTATTGGATAGTACTACAACGTGAGGGTAAAGAATTTCTGGGGTAAGCATTCTTAAAGGTCGAAAATTTCGCTCGTATCACGGAAAAAAAGTCAAATTTGATAAAATCCGCATTGGGGTCACCCACTTGTTCAAACCCATTGATAGTACGCCTAATTAATTTTATGTTTTGTTTGCTTGCCATACATTGATTACAAAAAATAAACCCACCATCTTATTATATTCAAGCGCAAGCCACTTGCACGAAAAATGCGTAGTACACTCTTTTAGTTTTGTTTCACAAGACATCTGCTATAATACAGATAATATCAGTAACTCATTTAACATAGACATATTGTTATTTGTTAGGAACTACTTTACAGGATGCCGAGAGTATGGACGGCCATTTCACAGTATGACTGTCAAAATGAATATCGTGAAAAAGTTATTAGATAACACTAGATTTAGATATACTAGTAATAGATTTTTTGGCGTAAACATCCTAAGATGCGAGCATTCGATTCTTTGAAATATAAATAATGATAATTTTTTATTGTCATATAAGTAAAATGATATTTGTGACATAAAACAAAAAATAACAACAACAAAAAATAACTGAGTTGAACACACACATATATATATATATATATATATAACACGCAAAAATAACTAAGAGTCCCTTGTCCTCAGACCTAAAGACTGTTTTATAAAGGAACCTGTTTTTTCACTTGGTTTGTATTCGAAGGATCTAACAGGACTACTAGTTTTTCAGTATCAGACAGATTCGGAAATATAGGATTATTTATTGCGATGTCCTGAAAAAGTTTTATACGTAATAAATTATTAATTTGACAGTAGAGGAGAAATTGGTTTTCGTCCTCTAAGGTTTTACAAGTTAGACATGTTCTTTGGTCTCGATGTATTTTCAGATATCTACCCTTTTCTATGAGTAAATTATGGTCACTAATTAGGACAGCGTTTATAATCCCTAGCCATAAAGAACTACAGAGACAATGGGTTGGAAAGTGGGTTTCCCCAATGCGTATTTAATCGAATTTGGCTTTATTTCCATGCTTCGGACGACATTTTCGACCTTTAAGAATGCTTACCCCAGAAAATTCTTTACCCTCCCGCTGTAGTACTATCAAATAGCTATTTATTAGAGCAGAATCTATAATGCCTAGCCATGCAGAACTGCCAAGGCAATGAGTTGGAAAGTGGATGACCCCCCAATGCGTATTTTATCAAATTTGACTCTTTTTTTCGTGTTACGGGCGAAATTTTCGGTCTTTAAGAATGCTTACCGCAGAAATTCTTTACCCTCACGTTGTAGTACTATCCAATGGCTGTACGTTAGGGTAGCGTTTATAATCCCTAGCCATAAAGAACTACAGAGACAATGGGTCGGAAAGGGGGTTTCCCAATTGCGTATTTTATCGAATTTGGCTTTATTTCCATGTTTCGGACGACATTTTCGGCCTTAACGAATGCTTACCCCAGAAATTCTTTACCCTCCCGCTGTAGTACTATCAAATAGCTATTTATTAGAGCAGAATCTATAATCCCTAGCCATTCAGAACTGCCAAGGCAATGAGTTTAAAAGTGGATGACCCCCAATGCGTATTTTATCAAATTTGACTTTTTTTTTCGTGAACAGACGAAATTTTTGGTCTTTAAGAATGCTTACCCCAGACATTCATTCCCTTACGTTGTAGTACTATCCAATAGCTTTACGTTAGGACAGCGTTTATAATCCCTAGCCATAAAGAACTACAGAGACAATGGGTCGGAAAGTGGGTTTCCCCAATCCGTATTTTATCGAATTTGGCTTTATTTCTATGTTTCGGACAACATTTTCGGCCTTTAAGAATGCTTACCCCAGAAATTCTTTACCCTCCCGCTGTAGTACTATCAAATAGCTATTTATTAGAGCAGAATCTATAATCCCTAGCCATACAGAACTGCCAAGGCAATGAGTTAGAAAGTGGATGACCCCAAATGCGTATTTTATCAAATTTGACTTTTTTTTTCGTGTAACGGACTAAATTTTCGGTCTTTAAGAATGCTTACCCCAGAAATTCTGTACCCTCACGTTGTAGTTCTATACAATAGCTATACGTTAGGGCAGCGTTTATAATCCCTAGCCATAAAGAACTACAGAGACAATGGGTCGGAAAGTGGGTTTCCCCAATGCGTATTTTATCGAATTTGGCTTTATTTCCATGTTTCGGACGACATTTTCGGCCTTTAAGAATGCTTACCCCAGAAATTCTTTACCCTCCCGCTGTAGTACTATCAAATAGCTATTTATTAGAGCAGAATCTATAATCCCTAGCCATTCAGAACTGCCAAGGCAATGAGTTTAAAAGTGGATGACCCACAATGCGTATTTTATCAAATTTGACTTTTTTTTTCGTGAACGGACGAAATTTTTGGTCTTTAAGAATGCTTACCCCAGACATTCATTCCCTTACGTTGTAGTACTATCCAATAGCTTTACGTTAGGACAGCGTTTATAATCCCTAGCCATAAAGAACTACAGAGACAATGGGTCGGAAAGTGGGTTTCCCCAATCCGTATTTTATCGAATTTGGCTTTATTTCTATGTTTCGGACAACATTTTCGGCCTTTAAGAATGCTTACCCCAGAAATTCTTTACCCTCCCGCTGTAGTACTATCAAATAGCTATTTATTAGAGCAGAATCTATAATCCCTAGCCATACAGAACTGCCAAGGCAATGAGTTAGAAAGTGGATGACCCCAAATGCGTATTTTATCAAATTTGACTTTTTTTTTCGTGTAACGGACTAAATTTTCGGTCTTTAAGAATGCTTACCCCAGACATTCATTCCCTTACGTTGTAGTACTATCCAATAGCTTTACGTTAGGACAGCGTTTATAATCCCTAGCCATAAAGAACTACAGAGACAATGGGTCGGAAAGTGGGTTTCCCCAATGCGTATTTTATCGAATTTGGCTTTATTTCCATGTTTCGGACGACATTTTCGGCCTTTAAGAATGCTTACCCCAGAAATTCTTTACCCTCCCGCTGTAGTACTATCCAATAGCTATTTTTTAGGGCAGTCTCTATAATCCCTAGCCACAGAACTGTCGAGGCAATGGGTCGCAAACGTGAGTTATGAAGTTTCAAATAGAAGTTGTATTGTCGGTTTACCATGAAAAAATTATTTTATATCAAATTCTACATTTTTAGTCGTTAATATGAGTTTTTGAAAATTGCAAATGTGGATAAAACATGCGTAAATACGAATCACATCCTGGACTTAACAGATAATACTTTGTTTGAATCGTCATCATGATTTTATTTATTGTAAATGGTAATTACAAAACCGTAAATATGAGTTAGAAATCTTCAAACTAAAGTTAGAATTTTGTTATGGGATATAAAAATCTTTGATTTTCTATATAAATCTTGTTTTCGAACAAAAAAGTCAAAAACTATGATTTTAAAGAAAAATAAAATTGTCGCCCAAGTAATTTTCCAAACGCAATTGCAGGATGACGAATTGCAGGATAGCTTTTTATAAAGAGAATTGCAGGATGAGAATTGCTGGATAGCTTGACACTAGTCACATTTACCTGCTGTTCGATTAACTCATCAGTTTGTGTGCTTAAATCTGAAAAATGTTGAACAAATATGTTGCATCTGTTTTATGTAAGTAACACGTTTTCACATGTATCTTACTACTTCACATAAAAAGCTCAACGAGTTTAAAATTAGATTATCTTTTTTTTTAATTTTTTGTTGTTTTATTTGTTATATTTAAACTTTTGTTTTTAGCAATACGTAATTTTACTAATTACTTTTTGAAAGTAAATTTACTAGAAGTTCTTTATCGTATTTTATCTATACTAACGAATATTATGAAACTATAAATTTATTTTGCAGCCATTATTATACTCGTAATGCTAGGGCAATTACAGATTTGTTCAGGCGAATGTTTATTTTTGCAACAATGTTTGGAAAATAAAGGTGTAGACTTTTCTGGTTTAACGATTTCGTTCAGCACAGAATACAGCATAAGAAAAAGCTGGGAAGCTTTCTGCGGGTATGAAATAGTTTTAGTGCAAGTAAATACGCAATTATTAAATTACACTCTTTAAAATGTTGTACATATATGTAACTGATATTCGTATTTCGGCTATTATAAATTTGATATATAACTTTTTATTATATTTTTGTGTGTAGAGTACATGAGAAACCTGTAGACTTTACTGCTTCTATATGTTTAATAATGATATAAGGTTTGATGTCACGGTATACTGTAAACGCATAATGAAACACAAGGATTTATATAAGAACTATAGCTTTATTGATGTTCTTTATTTTGATAGTTTTATTAAAGTCTGGTATACTTAAAGGCTGTCCTTCATAGTTTTATACATCAACGCCATTTAGACTTTGTTGGAAGTTGTTTCATTAACAATAATATCACATCTCCTTATTTTGACATTACAGTAAAAGCACACACCTAGTGGCCATTTTAGCGGTATTCTCAGATAGTTAATCAGAATTCCTGCACATTCTAGTACTAGTATTTGTTTTGCGACAAAGAAACTTACTATGATCATAATAACAAGTGTTAAATACACCTTAAGGGCGTTAGCCCGAATGGTTATATCTAATTTACACCAATATAGTATTGTCAAAGCAGAATGATAGTTATCAATAATTTAGGAAAGGGTCTTTCAGCGATTTGATCATATGTTATTGAAAAGCATGATAAATGTAGGGTCTCCAATTTCATTTGACGACATCGTGGTGTAAAAAGATGTAAGCGGACAATCACAATTAGTTGCTATCTTCTACGCCATTTGGTCTTTGGTGGTGAGTTGTCTCGTTAGTAATCATATCACATCTTCTTATTTTTATAATGACAGATTATTTCACCAAGGAACTGTATATATCATTCAAGTTTTTAAAATTTATGTTCTCTTTAAGAAGTGTCGACAATCTGGTGGCATGCTATGAACCGAGTACACTTACAACTTGTCCTTCAATAGCAGGTATTATTCCGTATGTGCCATCAAAAGTACAACTTAAAAGATCATATCAACAAACATGTGCCCAAATAGACAGTAAGTAGATTATTTTAGTTATTATAGGCTTACATTTACCTGCGTCTAAAAACATTTGAAGGAACCATATATGAACCAACAGACATATTAGAAAATGTCATCTATATTTCGTTAAATAACAAAATAGCTGATAGTAGAATTTCATTTGGCCATGTTCCCAGAATATAAGAATTCAGATGAGATATCCCGATGTTACTCTTTTTCCTTTTATGAAATGCAATATAAAGTTAAAATTTACTTATTTCATTGCATGCACCCTTAGTATTGTTCAATTGTTTGAAGGTTATTTTTTTAAATTCAAATTCAGCTCGTATTTCTAAAATTTACACAATTTCTCGATGGAACAATACTTAAATACAAGTAACTGAGAACATTAGGTCTGTGTTGTACGCAGTTTTCTCGACTCCGGAAAACAACTGCTGTTCTTAAAAAAAAAGCCTTCGACATTGTATTCCTTCATTTAAAAGTAAAGAAAACATGTTGGAGAAAAATATACGAAATGATATGTATACGCAGCAGCAAAACATGACAGAAACATTGTTTTTGCAATTTTGCCCAGGTTCCTTGACTAACATGACTAACCATGAACGCAACTGAGCTGAGGACGTTTTAATAAACCTGCTGAAAAGCAAACATGCATGTCTGTTGTATCCTTTATATCACTTGTATAACATGCTGAAGCAAATTAACACCATTTTTACGACTTGTTTAAAAAAAAAAGGAAGATCAATTTTATGTGACCAGGATAGACCCACTACAAAACAAAACCATGTTTTGTTGAAAATAAACAAGAGCCTGATCAGTTGTTCTCTGTAGCAAATTATTCTATCCGTAAGGAACAATGTGTTGGTGGCAGATATTTTCCTGAAAACAATTGTCTGAATAGCACAACTTATCTAGACTCGGTCGATGGCGCTTGAAATATAAGATTTAGAATTTTGTATGTAGTTCAAAACAGCGTGTTGACTTTTTGTTGTTTTGGATTGTGTTTTATGAGGCTATGTTCATTTCCGATTGCTGAATGTACACCCTACAGTTGTTATGAAAATTCATATGTACTACAATCGACATACAAATGAATACGTTACTTAATAGTTACCATAATACATTAAAAATCTTTGAAAATTTCGTGCGACTGATGCGCTTTTCTGTATTGACATTTGAAAGTCAAGGATGTATAAATACCTAAATACGTATGGACCTATTCTTAAATAATTTAAGTGATATGTTTTGAAACTGCATAACATATTAAGTATATTTGTATATTTTTTTGTATATAGATTTGAAAGATAGTTTTTTCTTTAAATAGGTTTGATTGAGTTAACTATTTGCTTTCAAAAATCTGGAGTTGCAAATAGTGTGTCAAACTGTTTCAATAGCGTACTGAACGCGATCTTAAGCAACCCTGAAAAGTATGATTCCGCTGGTTGTGGGTGAGTAAAACATAACCATCATTATTGTTGATAAACAATGAAAGACGTTGATTGTATGTCAAGTAGCATTCATACTAAATTTTATTTTTTATTAGCCTAATGTAAAGCAACAAATGAACCTAAAAAGAATCGAGTCTTAGTGCGTCGACAGAGTAATAACATCAATGGTACCAATTTTAATTCGTCTCCTGCAAAACAGACGAATCTAGACTACTTCAAAATGTCACATATTCAGTAAATATACAGATCGGACGACTGATCTATAAACCGTGAAAACATGTTTAAGTCTAAGGCACACGAGAGCCCACAAGGAGGGATTTCAGGTGCTCCGTAAAGGTAAGCAGATCCTGTTCCACATGTGGCAACCGTCGAGTTACTCATGTAAGTACTAAACGGTGATAAATCTAATTCGGTAGGTCACATTCGAGGAAAATAAGACGTGATTGTGGTAAAGACAAGTGGAAAACAATTGTTGTCATCTGGGAAACAGATATTCCAAAGATGTCAACCAACTCGTGATGGCGTCCCTGAAATATTTAAAGGAATGATTTCAACTTCACAACTTGGAACTCTTGGTTTTAAAGCTTATTTGTAAGCAGCAACCCTCTATCTAGGAAATCATGATAGAAAATCCAAGCTCTGTAATATCGTGTTAACTGGGAGATAATACTCTACATGCAGTTGCTGCTGGAATGTTGCTACATATAAATGGAAAGTTTGCAACTGGAAAGCTGAAATACAATTGTGGCGTATAGCTATTTTTTCTGAATAAACAAATATAACAAACCTTGAATCAATGGAAACTCTCAAAACAGCTCATTGATAGTTTTTTAACCATTTTTGATACCATAGTTATTACTGTATCAGTGAGTACTGTTTCACTTGCAGCTGTATTTTTATGATGTTTGTAATACCAATATTTCTAGACCTTATTTTTTTATGTTGTTCATTGTACCTTTTCCTTTTATCTCTTCGTCTTATTTACTTATTTGAATACGACTTGGATAGACTATACACACATTTATCTAAATATAGTATCATGCAACATGTTGTTAATATCGATTAACATTTCATTTTAGCGGCTCCGAGGATCCATTATTAAAATGTATGAAAGAGGCGATTCAGGGAAAATGTAGCCAGAAAGCTATTGACTTTGTGTCAACTCCACTAACAGTTATGTGCTCGACAGGAACTAAAATACTAGCACACATATCTACGTTATTTTGTGTTTATGTGTTTCTGCGCCTTTTCACTCATTGACAAGTTTTATATATAGATATATACAGCATGTTTCACGTCAAAGTTGCAACTTTCTTCGTTAATTGCTTTTGATTGTTTTTGTTAAGCCTTTTAAAGTTTTGACGATGCTCTTGAGTGAGTTGTTTATCTATTTGGCTTCGCAAAATTCACTACCACCGAGTCAGTAGTGCTGGTGTTGGACTACCAGTTCCCAGTGGTACATGTACCATGTATCCAATTTTATTGTATGTTAGTTACTGATTAGGTTATTGTACTGATTTAAACTATGATTAAAACTAAGGGGAAAATTCAAACAGCGGCGCACCCGGATCCCATCCCCATAAAACGGGAAAAATATCAATGTTGGGCAAAAAGCATATAAAAATTGACTTCAAAAAGGCCGCGATCCAAATAACCTCAAAATCCGTCAATAAAAGAAAACCTAAGATGTATTTGACGTAAAACGTTTTTTTTTTTAATTATTTGGTTTCCAAACGTAAGATGTCGATCGCATCTTAAATACAAAAATAGTGTACACGTAACAAGATATTGTTAAACATTTGATTATTATAATAAATAAATTACAAGTTTTACAAATGTGATGTCTTCAAATTATTCAAATGGATCCGAGAACCCGCCCTCATTATTACATGTTAGATCTCTCTTTATATTTAATGTAACGCTTTATTTGTTTAAACAAGGATTGCCAACAACACAAGGGTTACTGATGGTTATCTTCATCAAAATACAAGATGTACAGAATATACAAGACTTCAAACAATACATATATCGAAATAGTGCAACATCGAGTCACAGCCAATTAGAACCCATCACTTTTTGCAAGATAATATTTGTTATATGCAGCATATGGTAATATAATAGGGACAAAAAGTAAAAAGTGTGAAATGGACTTTTGCAAGCAGCAATTACAGCAATTGCAGTTTCGATAAGGCATCGCATTATATTTGAAGAGATGATCATTCAAACCGCTTATTCAAGCTTACGCGCAATTAGGAATGATATTTTTTCCCATCTCAAGTCCCCAGGAAAAAATATTTAGGAACAGTAGGAACTCTATAAAAGTCTTTAAGTTGATTCTTAAGCTTTGATACATGTATCTTTAGGTAATTCATTCCAGTCTTGTGATTTTAAATGTCCCTTTGGTATCTTTCGCCTCTCTTTTAATAGTTGCCGGGGGGAAAGATAATGAGAAATTAGTTGTTGTCGATTGAGAAGATATGATTTTTTCTTCTGAAATAATAATTGGCTATATTACTTTTCAAAAGCGGGAAGGTATTCTGCAGTTAGGTTTAGCATTTCACTTCTTTTATTTTGAATATAAGAATGAGACGATGCCTTTGCCTTCGAAATTGCTCCTCTACCCGAGTTACATTTTTTGAGGTTAAATTATAATGATGCACGTCTCTGGACATTTTCAAGAATATCCGATTCAAATTTAGTCTAATTTTCCAGAATAACATCCCCATAGTCAAAGATGTCTTATCATTGTTTTATGCAAAGATTCTAGACAGTATCTAGGTAAGAATCTCTTCATACATTTATTTACATGTGACTGTTATTTTATTAACCTAAACGCTGATGAGTTGTTTTAGCTATCTAAAAATGTGCTGATCATATGAAAGATTATTTTAAAAAAAAACATACCCAAGTGTTTACGAAAATCGACATTTTGTATGTGTTTTTGTTGTTTTTGTTTTATAGAGTTAAATATCTTTAGCATTGTTAGCGTTGAATTTAACACGTCATTGATTTGTCTAGACAACTATTCATTTTTTAAGACTGATTTTAATATAATAAGCCATTTAAGCAATGTAATATGTATTGATTTCACTATCAATATCTTCATTTTTGAAGATCATAAGCAACAGAGAGCATAAAATAGACCCTCATGGCTCTCCAGTCGAAGTCAACTTGGCACTGGAAGGCTTTTCATTTAAATCAAACTTTTGCGATCTATTTTACAACTAGTTTTTAAACCAAAAGAAATTAAGCTTGGATAGTGAGTCGTCATGCTTGACTTTGGGGAAAGCTTTAAAACATCTGAAATACTGTGCAAGGTACACATAATTGGTCGATATTACGGATTTTGATGAAATTTTGTGTGCATTTAGCGTGTTTGGAACTGCACCTAAATATCGAAAAAAATGTATATCTAATATTAATACTTCCAAAGATAGTATTACAGTCGATTACAAATTTTGCGCAATGGGTCTAAAAATAAAACCTCAGCAAATCGGAGAGATGTTTCTAAAATTGGTACTACAAAACCGAATCGAGGCCTTTTCGAACATACCCTTTCATCGGCATTTCCAATTTATGATGATGATATTATAAATATCTTAAATCTAAAAAAGTTCACCATCATTAATTTATTGGTATCGAACGATCTGCAAGAGCTACACTATTTACGAAAAAAAAGAGATATGGGTAAACGTCTTATTTGTGTCGAATATGTAGAATAGATACCATATAGTTTGTGCAGGTAACTTCTTTTTTTTTTGTTGCTAATAGCGATGTGAAACTTGACAGCTTAATTACTACGAATCGCGTAATTGGCCAATATATGGAATTTTGTAATCATTTAGATCTTGTTGAACTGTATTTTAAAATCGAAAAACAAATATATCACCGGATTCGTTTTTGGTGTACAAGTCATTTCAGTATGAGTATTTGGGGGAATAATATGATAAAATACGAATTTGTCGCGTGCCACCGGTTTTTTTTTTTTGTCGTTTTGACCTTTCGAATCTGCTGACCCTTAATATTTTCATTCCATTAAAAAGAAAATGTTAAATAGCTATATCATAAAAATTTTAATCAAAATCATGTGAAAAACGCAATTAAAAGTGATAGAAATAATGCAGATTTGTGGTTTTAATTCCAGATTCGGTTTTCAGGAATGTCTCATCTCATAGAATAAAATCCAATATAGTTGATCGGTTTCTATGATATACGTGTTGGTTCATTTATTAACTAAAATAGCATATTCACTCAATGTTAGAAGCTTTCTACCGATATTGCTATTGCTACCTTTTTATGTAAAGACATTAACCAAGTAAACAAGTAAACAAGACCAATATCGGGCCTGGGCCTGTGCCGCTGTATGCAATTGATTGGGGTAATATGTATACTAAAGCATAACTGATCATTCCCTTTTATAGAAGGCAAAAAAAAAAATTCTTGTACAATGAGTGTTGTAAAATTTTAAACTGTCGATCGGCAAGCAGGAATTGGATGCAAGGCAAACGTAGAAATTGCTTACCCGCTACAACTAATCATTATGAAGCTGCAGACCAAATATGAAATCATTCCCTTTCACAGTTTCCAAAGTGTGACGTAAGTTTTCTATCCAAGGTCTTTGGGGCGTATGGACGGAATCGAGCGGTTACTAGACCTGCTTTCACCGTTTGTGACGCAGGTAATAAAAAGAAAGGGATTTAGACTTTTGGGTAGTTAAATGAATTAACTTGATTACACGAGTAGCTATATGTAAGGGGCCCATAAAGAAGAGCATAATCACCTAGAGGTCAACTTCAGGGAGTTGAAACCAATATTTCTTTTAAAAATTATGGTAGAAATTAAGAAAGGTATGTTATGAATCATGTCAATACATAATCCCCGACAAATAAGATGATGATACCCTCGGGGACTAGCAGCCAACCATCAGCACAATAATCGCCATGTAAAAATTCATTAAGATAATACCATGCTTATAATTTGGTACGCCAGATGCGCGTTTCGTCTACATTACACCTATATCAGACAGATTCATGTCCATATGTATAGACTTGTCGCACAAACAGACACACTATTCAGAGTGTTTGCTCTTATTCCTAGATGATAAGTGCTTATCGATCAAACAGTAACATAAATTCTAATGTAATTGTTTTGGGATGAAATCTATAATCTCCCTGTAATATTCCTTACGAGCCCTCTACCACGTGAACAACAAGACCATTGTCATATAAAAAAGAGAATACAATTTAAATTATTATGGCTAAGAATTTTCAAAATTCAAATAAGATCAAAGAATTTCCTTTGGCTTATAGTAAGAATTAACTTTAAAACGGTTTTACAAATGTAAGAGGAGTTTCTTACGTGAAATTGTCAAAAACACGTTGACGTATTCCAGATTCAACATTCTTATGGCCTGATTCAAATTTCATTGCTCAGTCTCGGCATATTGAAATGCACCATATTTTTTACTGAATACATGTATGCTCTTGTGTATGTTTAAAGCTATGGTGTATTTACCCTTGAGATAACTTCACTTATGTAGTTAAGTTGTTTCATTCTCTCAATTTTAGGCCAGTTTTTGTACTAAAATTTTAATAAGACACACACCACCCACACAAATGTATTCTTGGCCCCAATTCCTATCCACGTTAAATTTTTCACTTTGTAACATTTATGGGGGGATCTATATTCCGTTATATACACATCAGACCATACTGGTTACCGAAACTTTGGATACACCAAACCAGGTATTTTATATCCGAGAAATAGGCAATACATGCCCTCAATTTTAGAATTCATTCATACATTTTTGTATTATTCTAAATCATCACTCAAAATGCGTTCTACAAGGATCATCAGTCCTTCGCCTTTCAGTTGATACATAAATTACAAAAATATTTTCTGCATAGTTTGATATTTACACCTACATGTTGTGTATGCGTAGGAACTATTTTGTTTTAAATATGTACTACTTTCCAGTATGTTTCTTGTGACCGGGCCCGATTTGGTAGTGTTACATCTTACAAAGTCGATCCGAATTATTTTTGCAAAGAATTCCACTCAACCCGGTGCTGAGGACCGTCTTAAACTTGCAGTGAGGTAAGAGTTTTTTTTTATCCGTGTGTAAGGCCTCGCTGTACATTTAAGATGAAGAACAGCAATAAAAGCATTATTTGGTAAAAATAATCACCTAAATGTGTGTTTTTAAAGTCCGTCAGTATATTTTACCGATACATTAAAACTTCAAAAGTCTGTAGTTAAGTTGTTTCTATATAAAATTTCTGCATTCTGTACCACATACCTTTCGAAAATAAATAGCTGATCTATTTTCAATTGACGTTTGATTGTTTATAAAATTAACTTTCTATTAGATTTTTTTTTATCTATAATAATTAATTTGGCGTCTATCTACATGCATATAATTTTATCTTAATTTTGAAAATACTCGATACATTGCTTGATTACACTATCAGGGATAAACAACTGCTCTATATATCCGTTTCATGCATCGTTGATAACTATACATGTCAACTGGCAATGATTGTTCCTCAATGCTCTTCAACTTTGTAATTTATTTGGCCTTTTGAACTATCTTGATTCTGGCGTCACCGATGAGTCTTTTGTATCAAAATATTTAGTTAGGTACAGACAACAGAATTATAGATACAATGTTACTTTTCTTATTAGGAGATTCAATTTATACCAATTTTATAAATTTACAAGGAAATAATTACAGTTGACATGCAAAAACCCAAACGTTTTATTTGTTTAAAAAAATACCTGCATCTTAATGATCTGTTATTGATATCATATTGAAATAGGCGTTTAAGCAGTTTTGTTATAATCTTTTTAACGAAGCACAAATAATATGATTCGTAACTTCTAACATTGTTTAACACTAGACAGCATAGGGAACACTTCCTTTCAAAAATTTCAAACAACAAAAAACTAAACGATGAATAGTATTAGTTGACTTCCTATGTAGTTATTTAAGGAAAACACAGATGTTCATGGTTGTTAGGTATATCTAAGGTTGTTGTTATTCCTCCTTACCAGTCAGCGTTTTGAACTTCATAATGATGGCAAAATATTTAGTTCCACTTTCATGTGAGTAACATAATTTTGACATAACATGTTAAACATTTGAATATTGTAGAATAAATATGTATTACAATTGTTATCTATAGATACTTTTTTATTTGTAAAACTATTGACTTATTTTAGTTGCAAAAGTTTTGCGCTACTTTGAAAGTAAACTTAATGCATAGACACCTGTCTGTTGTTGAAGATCGTATGTTTTTATCAAGATTAATTTTGGTTATTTGTGTCGTTTGTTTGGTGTCTCTTGCCGTAAAACCCACATTATTTGTAATTACATTGTAATCTGAATTATTGTGATTTATAACTAATGCGACATGACCTCGGTCGGGGCATTAGTAGTTTAACTAGCAAATAGAAACGAACGAATAACAGATATAAATAAAAAGAATTACCAAAAAAACAAAACGAACAGGAAAATCGTCACCGACTCGAGGTCGACATATATATGTTGCAGGACTAGCTGAGCGAATAGTTTCTTAGTTTAATTAAAGAGTTAGAATCATTTGATTAATGGTTTATGGACACTGGCTGTGTCTGCAATGACCCAGGTATAGGTTCCCGGTTTTCTGTGTTGGTCCCCCAACTCTTCGAGTTTCGGTGGCAATACAGAAAAAGGCAGTAATGATACTATTATATTTCGGTATCTGTATCTATAAAATGAAATGAATATTTCCAGCGGTCCTTGTCTAATCTTTTTTTATATATAAACATTTGCAATAAGGATTTAATATTGATAGATAAAACAAAACTATGATTTACCATTATTACACGTAGAACCTTTTTTTTTTCTAATCACCGAAATGCCTTTCAACCGAATGCCATAGCTAACATGAACACAAAATATACTAGTCTTGTGAAAATCCAATACCAATATTTATCCAAATAAGTGTACACTACTTATTAGAAGACATTAGGTCAACACAGCAACAATGCGTTATTAATACAATCAAAAATATTTCCGTACTCCAGGTATACCTTACAACAAAATTACTGTGTACGTTATTTTATTTGGCGGCATTTTGTCCAAGGTTATGGTTGTCTTTCTGATATTGTTTTACATTGTGGCATAGATCAAATTATTCGTTCAGTGTATGTTTACTTGTCTTTTGATTGAGTTAAGCCATTTCAATTGATATTTTATAGTGTGTCTTTCTATGTTGTGATGTAACACTATTGTTTCAGGTTAGGGTGAAGGATGACGCCTATTAAAACGTTTAAACCCGCTGCATTTGTTTGCACCTGTCCTAAGTCAGGAACCTGTTGTTCAGTGGTTGTCGTTTGCTGATGTGGTTCATAAGTGTTTCTCGTTTCTCGTTTTTTATATAGATTAGACCGTTGGTTTTCCTGTTTGAGTGGTTTTACACTAGTCATTTTTGGGGCCTTTTATAGCTTGCTGTTCGGTTTGAGCAAAGGCTCCGTGTTGAAGGCCGTACTTTGACCTATGATGGTTTACTTTTACAAATTGTGACTTGGATGGAGAGTTGTCTCATGGGCACTCATACCACATCTTCTTATAACTATTGAACATTTGTATCTGTATACTGTAAAGTATATTTTGTTTCTAATTTTCAATTATTTTTTATTATTTTCTTTTTAGTGCTATTGGTTATTTTGATTCAGAAAAAGGCATATTGTACAGACTGTTCATCGATAAAAAACTGTTTAGAAAGAAATGGGAACGATATCTCGAACTATGAATTTAAGTTTGATACCTTACATGAAAGCAAAAATATCTGGGGAGCTATGTGCAGGTAATAACTACTACATGAATATAATTTAGTTCGTAAACAGTACTTCTTACGATGTTATATAGTTTAGATAAATATAAATTGTACAACTGTAAACTAAGTTTGTGACCTTGTCTTTTAGAATAGACATATCTTTTACCCTGCTGTCCAAATTTTTGCAGTATTTCATTTCCTTGTTCGATTTAAAGCTCATCCTGGTGATATTCGGATGTGCAGATTTTCGTATTGTGCGTTTTACCCTTTAAACAAGATATGGTTTAACTAGGTGAGGGGAGAGGTTTGTACACACATTTTGCTGATTTACATTTAACAATCACATTTTGTCGCCGATTTTTGAACATGTGTTGTTTGTTCTCAAACGACAGAAGCATTACTTATAAAACTACAAGGTAAAGCTAGTTTTTTTTTTATATGCAATATACATTTATTTACATATATATAATTATGAATGAAAATAGTCCAATTTAAATGTATGTTAATTCCAAGATTACCTGAAAAAGTTTAACTTTGTATTTAAAGTTAAAAATTTGTTTAATTTGTTAATTTTGCAAAATATACTTGTATTATTATTGTGAGATACTGAGGCGGATAGGGAATATCAGAAAAAATATGTACTCCTAGTGTAATGTTCATGCACATTATACATACAAAATACGGGTATTCAGGGACTGATTTTGAGGTGAAGCTGTAAAATTCTAGACTATGATTAGATTTCACAGCTTTTTACACTATTCAATGTATATTTAAAATGCCTGAAATACATTTGTGTCGCTACATAAAATTGGTTTTGTTTAATTGTTTTTGTTATTGCTTTGTATCGATCTGATGAGTTTAGCCCTTTTTAACTGAATTTTAAAATTTGTTTTTATGTTGTGCTGCTACACCACTGTTATATTTACTGGTTAGGGGAGGGTTGGGCGACCGCAAACATGTTTAACTCGTCACATTCTGATGTGCTAGTCCCAAGTTAGATCCTGTAACTTAATTGTTGACATGTGTTGCTGTATATCATGTTTGTTTTCCGTTTATTGTTTTGTAAAAAAGTCAGGCCGTTATTTTTTTTCTTTTGAACAGTTTTAAATTTGTCATTTCGGGGCCTTTTTAGCTTGCTATGTGGTATGTACGGTGACCTATAGTTGCTAAATTATGCGCCATTTGTACTCTGGTGGAGAGTTGTCTCATTGGCAATTATACCACACTTCTTATTTTGATATGTACATGTGTATAATTCAGTATATTTATGTAAAACATTTGTCAAAATAACAAGTAAAAAATATATGCTTTAATTTTTTTTATTTTAGTAGATAAACAGTATTGTATTGTACACGTGTATACGTATTTAATGTAGACATTTGTTACAATATGGTGGTATACACAAATATGGGAATGATAGCCAAATCAAAATTACACATTTAAATATATGGAGTGTCCTAGCTAGCATTCAAGAGCATAGGAACACCGATTTAAGATGAAGTCCGAAAAGGAACAACTTGCTCAGGTTTACCGATAACAAATAATGTTATTTGGGGCTGTAGAAAGTTTTTCTTCTCAAAAAGTTCGAATCACATTTTGCTTCAATAATCATGGAAAAACATCCATCTATCTATCTCTGTCAAGTATTGGTCCGAGGACACAGTTATCGTCCTTAGATAGTCCCTAGTGTGGACAGTGTATATCTTGCAAAATTTGTTCATACACTTTCTTTTATATTTTATGCATGAAATATTATGTTAAGGGATGATATTACATGTTTTAAAAAATTTGGGTGCTGAATCGTGTGATTTGGTCCAGTTCAAAAAGGTCAAAAACTAGTATGTCTGAAGCTGTCAAACTGAATTTTAGACCCCCTTAACATAGAATTGTCAATATTTTGAGTTAGAGCTGGTAGATTTTTCTATAATTTTGATATTATGTGTCCCAATAGTAGTACACTACACTTTAAAAATCTTTTTCAGATAGAGCAGGTGCGATTTTTTTAATTTGAATTCATTGTCTAAAAGAAATGCACTACGAAATAACTGTGTTCTCGGGCCAGTAGTGGATTCATTTTTGAGTGTAATTACTGTAGCGTGATAAAAAAAATACATAGTTCCAAGTATGTATAATTAAAAATTGTTTTGTACAGTTAATTTGTAAGATGTTATTCTTAATTAACTAATTGTGGAGTAGTAATTCAATTTTGAGTGTAGGTACTGTAGCGTGATGAACAGCTACATAGTCCAAAGTATGTATAGTTAAAAAGTAGTCTCTTTGTACAGTTAATTTGTAAGATGATTTTCTTAATTAGCTTATTTTTGGGTAGTGTAGACACGCTTTAGTAGTGTGTCCAAAATGTTCCACTGACGGGTAGCTCGGATATCTGGAGATATGGTATACCAAGATATGATGGTGGCAGGTACAAATGAATATTTGAACCAGTACAGTTCGGTTCTTATCTGTCTGATGATATTAGAAATTGAACAAAAGGTCCTTTTGTTGTAGAAGAGGATCAGGTGGTTGACATGAACGCCTACATCTATGCCCTTATACTAGTTATAGTCCTGTCCTATATGCATTTTAGTTTTCTGAAAAAAAAGATAGATAATCTGAAAACAAATATCATCTCAGTTGTATCTTATTTTGTCACACAACCATTTCCTAATATAGACTCAAGTCCTAACCTTTATGGACAGACATATCGATCACACCACTCTATGGAGGGATACTAGAATATGCAGACGTGATCGTACCAGGTCACTAGCACACCGTGTCTCTAATAATATTTAGGCATTGACATGGACAAACATTTGACGGGTTATAAAGCTGTCACAGACAGTACAAAAATTCAATTTTAGTTTAATGGTGTACATAGTATCGCTTAGAAGGAGAAATGTGTGTTAATGATAATTAAGAAAAAGCTATTCCTTATGGATACAATGAAAAAAATTGACGTAAGTATTTTGTCTCGTCCCATATGTTCCGTAGTGTTATCAATAAACTTTTGGCTGTTTGAAGGGTGGGATTCAGGTATACTAAATAAAGAAATTGTTGAGCTGCCCACTCATCGAATAAGCTCACAGTAACTACAACACACTGCAGTTCACACACGACAATTTGTGTACACAATGTCTAACGGTAATCCTGCCCACGATGTTGGGGATATGGGAGAATTTTATGGCGTTGGAACTGATTTTTTCACAGACGGTGCTGTTTCTCTTTTTCAACTGTCTTGAACTACGCATGGGATCAAGAGAAAAATAACATTATTCGACCATTTGAGAGTTGGTTTGCAATTCAAGTAAGTCATAGAAATTTTTGGAGTTGATGCTACAGATTTCACCTTGAAGCACGATGGCAACCGTATTGAACACAAAATTTTAATTTACAACATTCCGGAAAGTTGACAAAACTGACAGTTACATCAAGTTAACTTCGTTAGACGACGTATTCTATTATGAATATAGAAGAGAAAAAAGCATTAAATAAGTGTAACAGGTGTAATACCACCAAATCATAGTACGTCACATCCGGTTGCATAGGCAAAAGGGTCGAAAGAAAATATTCCCTTGAGTTTAACAGTTTTTTCTTGGGATATTAACCCTACATTTCATTGCAGTAAAACATTTCTGAGTCATAAACATATTCCGTGGGTGTTTCAAAGCACCATTCTTTTTTTATTTCATGTTTTTATAGAATATTTTGGAAACTTGAGGTTACATTGTTACAAAAGCTTGTACACAAGAAAAAAAGATGTGAAAATTTGATTGGTTGACTTCCAGTAATGGTTATTATCTTATATGCAATGAAATGATATGTGAAATGTCTGTAGTACTAGACTTGATAAAACGTTACTCATGCCAAGTATTTCTTTATTTGAAACAAAGATCAATTCTGCACAATTTTTTGAAAAGTGCAAATTTGACAAAGACTAATAAGCGGAAAACAATGGTGGTATTACTCCTAACAAAATCTTAAGATTCCCGAAAACCATGGCTGGGATACAGTGCAGGAGCACTTGGATTGTCCATTTTCCGATAAAGAGGATGATGCTGTTAATTTACGTAAAGCCATTGCAAGAGCTACAAGCAAAAGAAATTTTCAGAGTACAAAGAAAAATGTGAGATACATATTTCACAGTTACCAGTAGTAAATATATTTGAGAATGTTTTTGATTTGATTAAATGTTACATGTGTATGAAACAGAATCAGGAAAATGAAAGAAATAAATTCTTTCAACTTTATATTATAACTACAACTGCATCATACTATCTAGTTCCAAAATCAACTTTGATAAAACAAAAGGCCTGTTGATTGGGACGCTTAAGTACAAAAAAAAAAGGTTTCTTGGATCAAAAACAGCATAATAATTTTGGGGATGCATCATAAGTATAACATTGATAACAGGAGAATATGCGATATACTAATAAGCAAGATAATATTAGTTACATAGTGTGCTAGTGACCTAATACGATATATATGGATACGTAAATTTCATATGGAGTGAGAGCGAAGCATTTAGACTATAGTGGCCTGTCAAAGTGATCAAGTCTTCAATATTAAGAACCTACTTCATTGGCCTATACAAAAACAAATGCCAACAATAACAACTTGTTAGCTTTTAATGTGTTTTCTGCATTTATTTCAATCGTTCATCATCAATTTCTTCGTCTGTTGAAGCCTGTCAGATTTTTCCTCAACACCGTGTTGTTTTTACAAAGGGACGTAACACCACTACTAACCGTGTATTGGAATAAACCCCGCCTACTAACCGCATATGAAATATACACGACTTCCACGCGGTTGCTTTTAAATAATCATATTCTTAGAAATGTATAGGAGGCAAGATAAAAATCAGTATTCACGTTTGGAAAACAAGAAACCTGACTTACAGAGGTAAAGTAATTTTAATCAAAAAAAATATAAATATGTTAGCGTTTTTGTCAGATTTATTTGTATGTTTCTTTTAATGTTTAATTCCGATGTGTTGTATGTCTGTGATGTATGTTTACACAGTTTTGGCTGCTGGGTCCCATTATGTCTTTGAGTTGCTCATCGAATTAAGTCAATAAAACGGAACTACATACAACTGTCATATAAGTAGGAGGTTAAGCTAGCTTTAAAACCAGGTTTAACCAACCATTTTCTTCATAAAATACCTGTTTCTAGTCATGAATATGACCATTGGTTCACACAGTGTAACGTTTGATTTTTAGTTTTTATTGACTTCCCCTAATTGGATTTACACCTTGCAGCTCTGTATTTTTGTTAATACTTTTTATGACTCCGCAACAAAATTTTCGGCCCATATAGTTTAACCCGTATCCGTCATTCCGTCATTCCGCAACGAACAGTTATACGGACATTTTTTCAGAACGCCTTTACATATTGATCTGATTTTTGGTATGTGAGTCAACTATGACGAGTTACAGATCGAGTTTACGTTTGGTTCCGCTCCGCTGATTTTTGTCAAAATTACAGGCTTTGGACTTTAACTTCTTAGCAGAAATAAGGACTTTTTTCTAAGCGCCTTCACATATTGAGCTGATTATTTAGTATGTGAGTCTGCTATGATGTGTTACAGATCGAGTTAAAGTTTGGTTCAACACCATTAATTCTTTCTAAACGCCTTTATATATTGAGCTGATTGTTAGTATGCGAGTCTTCTATGATGAATTGAGTTTATGTTTGGTTCCGCCCCACTGATTTTTGCCGAAATTACGGGCTTTGGACTTTGAAAATAGCAGTAATACAGACTTCTTTACTAAACGCTTTCACATATTGATCTGATTTTTAGTATATGAGTCAACTATGATGAGTAACAGATCGAGTTTACGTTTAGTTCCGCTCCGCGGATTTTTCCGAAATTACATGCTTTGGACTTTGAATTTAAAAATTTCATGAAAATAGCAGTTATACGAACTTTTTGCTAAGCGCCTTCACATATTGAGCTGATTTTTAGTATGTGAGTCTACTATGACGAGTTACAGATTGAATTAAGGTTTGATTCCACTCCATTCAATTTTGCTAAAAATAATGGCCTTTGGACTTTGATCATCTTGTGCAAATAACAGTTATACCGACTTTTTCTAAACGCCTTCACATATTAAGCTAATTTTTAGTATGTGAGTCTTCTATGATGAGTTACAGATTGGGTTGACGTCTGCTTCCACTTCACTGATTTGTGATGAAATTACGAACTTTGGACTTTGACATCTCGTGAAAATAACAATTATACAGACTTTCATTCTCAAATTTCCACTCCTAAAAATGGATTCAAGCTTATTTTGCGAATGGGGCCATTCGTTTAGTTCCAACACATCTAGGTTATCATATAGTTGCAGTAATATCATTTTACTCACCATGAATTGTGTTTCTTAATAAGTGCTTATATATATATATATATATATATAAGTCTAGAGATTTGCACAACGATACTAATATAAGATGGTATTATACGAAGATGTTGTTAATAAATCGTGTTGACAAATATTTCGGCTTAACAAATAGCCTTCTTCGGTGTCAATTATTTTAACAATCGTATAATACCATCTTATATTAGTATCGTTGTGCAAATCTCTAGACTTATATAATCGTATAATACCATCTTATATTAGTATCGTTGTGCAAATCTCTAGACTTATATAATTTTTTCCTTATCTGCACAGTATCGTCTATTCTAGACGATCCGGTACATAGTAAATTTGCTGGTTGGTCCTTTTTATAGACTTCTATATATATATATATATATATATTCACAATAAATCCTTCAAAAAGTTTTCTGTTGAAATAAACTATTTGGAGCACGCGTGTCGATGTCAATAACAATAACTTAATAGTGAACATAATTTAAATAACAAAAAAATTCATACTTTGTTGTTTTTGCTTACACAAGGTAATATTTGAAATGACCTAGATAAAAAAAATGTATATTTATACAGTTTTATTTAAAAGGATGAAATTATAAGAACACACAAGGTTTAATGTGACTGTGAAGAATATGTTAGAAATAGATTCAGTTTTGTTTGTGTACATTGTATAATGTTTTATAAAAGTAGCATTTTTTCACCAACTTGTACTTTCCCTTGCATAAAGTGATATGTAACAAAAGCAATAATCCCTTTGTAAGCTACACTTACCTGCATAGAAAGGTGAAATGAAAAAAATGAAAACAACACGTTATAAATTTCATGCGTCCGAAGCGCTTTTCTGGAATTACCTTCATCAGGAACGCTCAAGGACGAATATTAGAAAACCGAGGTTGTATAAGAACCGAAACAGTAGAAGAGTTTTTGATCCTACAGTTTAACTTTTAAATTCATTCAGATGTTTAAAAAAAAAGTGATGCATGCAGTATTAATGTTTTTTATTGTCTATTTTCTCTAGTTGTAATTGTATGACCAAATAAGCCCCAAAATATACCATCTCCTTTTGCGAATTATAAATGAACGCTTAAATATAAACAAAAGCGTAAACAATGTTGCAGCGATGAACAAAATATGTTTCTAATTTCATTGTACTATCAACTTTTTTTATATTAAATTGCCACCATGCACGATTTAGATATTAACGTATGCTTTACATAATAGTTCAGACATTAGAATTATTTCTAAAAAAAAAAAGATGCACATTTTCGCATGGTATAAATTTTAGGACAGTTATTTCATTAAGTTGAAAATTCAGGGATAAACAGTCTCACATTCATGATTTTAGTCTTAGATGCATGCTTTTTTTTATTAGTTGTTATTGGCTTTGAACTACATGTAGCTGTTAGTAACTGCGAGTACCCTCATATCTGTACTTAGTATCTTTATTGTTATGGGGATGTAAAAATACCCTGCCACGTCCGGTCTGTGTTTTTGTTAGAGGTTTTTCTGCTTTGTATCGATCTGATGAGTTAATCCCTTTTCAACTGATTTTTATATATTTTTCTTATGTTGTACTGTTACACCACTTCCAAGGTTAGGGGGTGGGTTTGGCACCAACAAACTAGTTTAACCCCGCCACATTCTGTATGTGCATGTCCCTAGTCAGGAGCTTGTGGTTCAGTGGTGTCGTTTGTTGCTGTATATCTTATTTGTTTTTCGTTCATTGTTTTGTACAGTCATGATAAATCATGCCGTTAGTTTTCTAGTTTAATTTGTTTTACATTTGTCATTTCGGGGTCTTTTATAGCTGACTATGCGGTTTGTGTTTTGCTCATTGTTGAAGGTCATACGGTGACCTTTAGTTGTAAACTTCTATGTTATTTGGTCTCTGGTAAAGAGTTGTCTCATTGGCAATCAAACCACATCTTCTTATTTTTATATCGATATGATTTTTTCATTGATTAAGATGGCGTAAAAAGTTTTTCATTATCTTTTTTTTCCAGAAATACCGAAAGTCTAACCAAGTGTCTTACACCAGCTAAAAGTGGATGTTTGGAATTAACCATGCCAAACCTGATGGTATTTTCGTTGTCGTTTGGCAAGGCTACATTTCAACAAATTTGTGCAAAGAAAAACGGTATAAAAACGTTGTTATTTTTGTTTGCTTATTGAGCAGTGGCAAATATTTTATGCCATTTTAGCACGATGATTTAAGGTATATATATTGATTATTTGAGTTTAAACGTTTTTTTTATACAGATATGAAAAAACTTAATTACCAAAACTAAACTTATCTTTTACAGATTTCTAAATATTTCGTTCGTAGTATTTTCTTTGAAATAAGAAAAATAATCAGGTACTTCCGGTTTCAAAAAGTCACTTCCAGTGTCAACTTTTCACTGATTCAACAATAGATAGTTTCTATGTATTTCCCTTTCAAATGAGGAAAATAATTAGCTACTTCAGGTCTGCCCAATGATAGCTAAAATTACACCGATTCAAAATATATATGGTCTCTGTATACTTTTGCATGAAATTATGTCGATAACTAGCGTATAGCTTCTAAGGAGCTTACAACCAAAGTTCACAATTCTGAACATCACTTTGACCTTAATTTCCTGCGTGTGGCACAAGGACTTTATATCAAATGACTATATGTCCCTTTGACATATGGTTGTTGAGTTAAACCTTTTATGTCGAACTCAAAACAAGAAATACCTCTTATCAGGAGAACATCCTGAGTATGTAATAAACATTTTAGAGAAAAGATTCAAGCGATATATTTTACGGTGTTTGAGGAGAAGCGATGTCTTTTAATTCTATTAAATTGGTTGCAATGCTGAAATAGTCGAATAACTAACCCAAGTATTCAAATACAACAAAAATATGCAAAGCGTGACCGATCGCTCGAACAACACGAATGTTTGTAGCACATTAGGGAATTGCTATTGTTGTTTGGTCATTTAGTTGGATACTTTACACTATTTGAAATGTTGGATTGGTTATTCTTTTTATTACAGTGACTTAATTAATTTTAACCAAAAGGAACTATTTCTTTTTTCTACGCGTTCTTATGTCATGTTGGCAGCGTCATCGACTACGCCTTTAATTGACAACAACCATTGCATGGTGTCAAAGGAGTTTAATTACAGGATATATATTTCGGACGCATGAAAATGTTATTTGAAGTTTCCACATTAGATACAACATTTGGTTCTGTGAAGACATTGTCAACTACTTTGCATCAAATCGAATAAAGAGAGATTAGAAAAAGATGTAGACAGTAATTTTAATAGTTCCTACAGAGCTATGGTAATAAAAGAAATAACTAATCCAATAATTCAAACATCAACGAATATTCACCTCTTGACCGAACAACACTGATGATTAACTCATGGTTTGAAGGCACTTCTTTTAATCCCAAGGGGCTTAACGAAACCAGCAGTTTCCCATTTTTGTGTAAATAGTTACCTTTTAATAGAATATTGTTTTTATGTTTATACGTAATTTAAGAACAGTTCTTAAAAGCCCTAGTGTGGACTATGTATTTTCTTATAATTTTTTTTCAGGCATACTTATTCTTAAGCATGAAATAGCAAGTAAGGGGATGAAAATTAAACTGTAAAAAAATGGGTCATAATTACAAGGTAACGTCACGAATCTGATTTGGGCAGTTGGGAAGTATCATAAAATGAGTACAGTCATCTGAAACTGTCAAACTTAGCAAAAGAGGGGTCGAAAGATACCAGAGGGACATTCAAACTCATATGTCGAAAATAAAAGTTAAAGACCCTCTAATCATCAAGTTCTCCATATTTTTAAGTTAGAGCTGGTAATCTTTTCTATTATTTTGATATTATTTGTCCAAAAAAGTAGTATTTTTTAAAAACTTTACGTTCCCGTCTAAAAAAAGAGAAGGCTTACGAAATATCTACGAAAATGATACGAGTATGTTAAGAGAGTATATGCATTCCCCTCGTATGTTTCTCATAATCATTTTACGTCATTTTAGCATGAACTTATCGAATTTTCTGGAGAAACCGAATATTTGAATTCGCTGCAAAGGCAATAGTCTTAGTCATTTGTGTTTTTGGAAGATTTCTTGCCCACAAAGTTTTAGAAGTAAGGGTATCACAAACCCAGTAGTCAACACTTATGTGTTAACATGATATATCATTGACATGCTAATTTGTTGTAAATTTAATGCTTATAATATGTTGAATTATTCCAAACACGTCGCGTTTTCTACACCGTGGAAAATTTTCATTGACGTGTTTGGCACATATATTTTTGGAATTTTCATTTTGTTAGATAAGACATTAAAAAACCACTGAATAGGTTTTTGAGTTTAAAGAAGGTGAAGATCAAAGAAGCTAGGTCATTACATATTAGTATTGTTATTAAAAGTGGGAAGTTTGAGATCTGAAAAATCAAGTTCAACCCCGCAACATATGCATATGCATGTATCGAGTTAAGAACCTTGTCAACGGTTGTTTACATATTTACGCATCCCTCTCTCTGTTTAGGATTCAGCTTTACAAATGAAGGTCCATCCACTAAAGCGCTTCGGACGTAAAACATTTTTAAAAGGTTATTTCATTTAATGTCATATATTTTAATCTGGTTTTCGCTATTTTGAGTATGATAGTTATTATAACACACATACGTGAAGAATTATGCCTGCTTCTGTTTAATTTTCTTACTCAGTTTCTGTATAAAGTCTGTCTCATAAGAATAAAGCAACTAGTAGACAAACAGAGGGACAAAGTTGGTTTCCATATGAATGCAGTTTGTCTTTTGAAATTGCATATACGAGGTATATTTTGTAAAATAAATAAAAGGATACAGAATAAAATCAAATGAATTAGTAGGAATTGCAACAAGTGCAAGACTAAAATCTAAATTCAATCAACTTTTTCCCTGTTAATAATTTTTTTAATTACCGTCTTGAATGTAAGGAGATGCGGTATAAACATCAATTGGCCTGCTAACAACTAAAGCACAAATGACATTTGAAGGTCAAAATATGGCTTTCAAAAATGGAGAAGCGTCTTAGATTTAAACAAACAGTAAATAAATTGAAAACAGACGACAAAATATCCCACACCAACACCAATTTTCACAAAATTAAAATCGTGCAAGTTATAGTAGCTTAAAAAAGTGTTATCTGGAGGGCCTTTAAATTTAGTTTTAACAAATTGTAGGAAATATCAGTTGGTTGAGTTGTGTCTAATTGTGATCATCAGAATTAATATGTCAACTGAGAATAGAATCTTGCTTACGGCCATTTGAGATGATCTTGATTAGTTTAGAGTTATATATCAAATGTTAAACGGTAAGCCGGCACAATTGAGCTGCTGGTGTTTTAGCATGACACAAGCATCTGCCTGTACTGATGTCTGACCCTAAAGGACGTTGATTTTTTGCACTTTTTGACAAGAACTATGGTAAACAGTAAGAATGATCAGTAAGACAAGATCAGCAAAACAAAGATTTTAGTCATAAGCTATATACTAGTATGTTTTAAAGGGTTTTTGAGAGTTTAGTCCTCTACAAAATACAGAGCCATAGAGCAAACAATTAAAATTAACCAAAAGGAAGTATTTAAAAAATTGCAAATTTGTTTTATCGGGTTTTATATGACCCCAACTAAATCATTCAACTGTTACAAAACCTTTCGGCACTAGATATTTATATAAGCATCACTGTTAAGTTGGTAATTTTTACCATATTCGAATACCGTTATCTTGACAATTCTTCACATCATAAAATATTTTGCAGAATTTGGATTGAAAAATTTTCAGAAAAAATAGAACGCGCGTTAACTACTGAATGTACAATATATTCATTATAATCAAACAGAGCAAACAATAAAAATGATTGAAATCTTAATGATGGATGAAAAGAAACGCTAAATAAACAGTGTATAAAGTTCCCTAAATTCTAGTTTTGCTGACTTCAATACTGCTATGGCTCTGCAGACTGTTTCGTCTTTTACCTATATTAAAATTTTTCCAGACTGTCCCATTAAGATATAGTCTTCCACCACTAGATGAGTTCTTTCCACCAGGCAAACATTCTTATATTGATGGCATGATACAATATGTATGCCTGCCTAAAAATAATATTGTTTTACTTGACAGGAATGGCTTCTTTGACCCATTGTATGGCCACTACTCTGGCAGGACAAGTTCAATATTTACAGACGTGTTTGAAAGCAAACAACCCAAATGATATCGTTATATCTCAATGCGGGTGAGTTTTTGTCAGCGTCAAATGATTTATTTACACACATTACTACATAGTGAGATAGTATATGAGTATTTACTATTACACCGAACGGGGGGTAATGGCATCCGGAATCTTTGTCAGTGACTTAATATTTACTTTTTTTGAACATACGAGAAGCAATGTATGTATACAAGATAACGTATATTGGTTTTTTCCTCTTGTGTTTACTTTTTGTACGAGGCGGGGAGTATTGGCATGACAAACTTTGGTGAGTGACTTAATACTTTGTTTTAAACATATGATACGCAATGTATGAATGTACTCCGGATACCGCATATCAATTTTTTGGCTTAAATTTAGTTTTTCGCATTGTTCTGGGAAGCTGAAAGTGTGAAAGTGTGACACTGTGTAAATTTCCCCGTTAATTACATACATCATATCATTTGTACACAGCAGTCAGTGATACGTTCATAAACGCGAATAATCGACGATCAAAAGCAGAACATTTTGTACCAAAAAAAATATATATTTTACACTTGATATTTGCATGCATAGACTTTAATAATGCTCTGGTATACCATCACAAAAACATCAAATTCTTCAGTGTACATAAAATTGAGAATGGAAATGGGGAATATGTCAAAGAGACAACAACCCGACCAAAGAGCAGACAACAGCCGAAGGCCACCAATGGGTCTTCAATGCAGCGAGAAAATCCCGCACCCGGAGGTGGTCCTCAACTGGCCCCTAAATAAAATTGTGTGCTAGTTCAGTGAAAATGGACGTCACACTTAACTCCAAAAAATATAAATGAACTAAAATTAAAAAACATACAAGACTAACAAAGGGCAGAGGCTCCTGACTTGGGACAGGCGCAAAAATGCGGCGGGGTTAAACATGTTTTGTGAGATCTCAACCCTCCTCCTATACCTCTAGTCAATGTAGAAAAAAGAAACACATAGCAATACGCAATAGCAAAACTCAGTTTAAAAGAAGTCCGAGTCCGATGTCAGAATAGGTAACAAAAGAAACTAAGCAAAATAACAATGATACATAAATGAACAAAGGACTACTAGCAGCTACTGACATCCCAGCTCCTAACCTCAATTAAACTGATTGAAAGATTATGTCTTCATCATATGAAAATCAAGTACAATCCCTCCCGTTAGGGGTTTAGTATCATACCATCATAAAATATATGAGAAGAACATAACCCGTATCATGCCAACAACTGGTTTTAGAATAAATGTGTTTATTTCCGATGCAAAGACCCTATGAGTGAATCAATATTAATACCAAAATATGCAATCCTTAATGACTTGACAACAGTATCGTAACTATATCCTTTCCGAATAAGTCTGTTTAAAGGTTTGGTTAGCTTTTGAGGTGAATGCCGACATTTTTGTGCTTTGTAAAGAATATTACCATAAAATATTGGATGTGAAATACCTGAACTTATAAGATGTCTGCATGTTGATTTATATTTACGAATGATGTCCTTTTACCGATGATAAAATTTAGTAAATGTTTTGACTAGTTTGTGATATCGAAAACCCTGATGTAATAATTTTTCAGTTATACAGAGATTTCTTTCGTTGAAATCAAATACGTTGTTACATACACGAGTGAATCGAACAAGTTGAGATATATAAACACCAAAAGATGGCGCCAAGGGAATGTCACCATCTAAAAATGGATAATTAACAATAGGAAATGAAAAATCATCTCTTTTATCATAAATTTTGGTATTAAGTTTCCCGTTAATGACAAAGATATCAAGATCCAGGAAAGGGCAGTGTTCATTGTTGGTATTAGCTTTATTTAAAGTCAGTTCGGCAGGATAAATCTCTCTAGTGTACATACTGAAGTCGTCATAATTGAGAGCCAATATATCATCTAAATATCTAAAAGTGTTATTAAATTTTTGAATCAGATGTTGTTTCGATGGGTCTTTGCTGATTTTAGTTGTAAATTGTAACTCATAACAATACAGAAACAGGTCCGCAATAAGTGGTGCACAGTTAGTCCCAATGGGAATTCCGATAACCTGATGATATACGGAATCTCCATAACGAACAAAAATGTTATCTAGTAAAAAATTAAGGGCAGTTATAGTATCAAAGTAGGTCCAATTGACATAGTTCTTTTTTTTTGTTGTTACTAAAAAATGACCTAAAAGAGTTTGAACATATATATTCGCATTCCGACTTTGTAAATGCCCATTTAATCAGGTGTGTGAATTTTTCTTAATAAGATTATGAGGCAACGTGGTATATAGGGTAGAAAAATCAAAACTTTGAACAGATTCAAAATCACCAATATAAGCATATAATTTATCAAGTACTTCCAACGAATTTTTGACACTCCAAAAGTAATTAATTCCACTATTTTCAAAGGCCTTATTTGAACAATTTATTACCAGGTTTTTGATTGTACCAAGTGTTCTTGTAAGTAGAATAGATAGTTTAGTAGTGGAACAATGGCTTGAAGACGAAATAAATCTATATTTGTAAGGAGTTTTATGCAGCTTTGGAAGCCAGTACAAAGTTGAAACTTTCATTGTATTTAGTTCTGCTTGTAAAGAGGTAGCTAAAAGTATATGTTTGTTACAGATGTCATTTTCCGAAAATGGAGTCAGTTGGAATGTTGGTGAATTCGTGATTTCCTTTTGTAGAACATCAATGTAAAATTTACGTCAAACAATAATGATATTGCTAGCAGCCTTATCAGCCGGGACAAAAATATATTCCTTGGCGAGTTCTTTTAGCTTATGTTTGATACGGGAAATTGGGCTATTATGGTTGTTGTTAGGAGTAAAATGATCTTTAAAATGTTGAATACGTATATCAACTATGTTCATTACCGAATTAAAAAAAGAATCTAATGATTTCTTGTCAGCTTTTTCTCGTTTTATCCATTTAGAGCAGTAAGTACGGAGTGAGTCGTGGATGATATTACGACACTCATTCCAATTAATAATTGACGGGGGACGATATTTAGGTCCTTTACTGAGGAATGATTTCAACTCTCGGTCACAAACTGTGTTAAGGTCTCCTGTTATAACATGGGAACTGGGGCCATAAATGTACGATTTCATACTTAGGACTGCAATATGGAATTGTGTTTCATGCCTCCAAAATTTGGTGTAATTTATTAACAGGCAAAGAACAGAGCATGTTTAATAGATAGTGTCTTCCGTTGTTTTTTGAAACATAAATTAGGTCCGAAATATTAGTATTGTTATTACGAAATTTTCTTTGATTGCGATTTATTCTACGCCCATGAGAACAGTTTTTACGTACTGTTTTAGAAACTATATCCAAAATGTTAACAGAATCTGTTCTAGATATATTACCAATTCCCATGATATTGTCGTTAAGACTGAGAGGATGGACTGTCTGTAATTTTACAATCCAATTTAATTCAATAATTTACTTTTCTTGAATATTCTCTAAATTATATTTATATTAGTTTGTAGTGCTATTATTTATTTGTTATCGATTCTCTGTCAGTCACTGAGGGTTTATTTTTGTTTATACTTAGAACTCAAAAGGGATTTCTATAGCTTGTTTTTTTTCAATCGAAAATAATATATATTGAAAATTTAACTTGCCCATTTTTTCATTAAATCGGTAAACACCGATAAATGGTACTCAAAAAGTTTGAAGCAGTCCTTAATTCGCTTTAAAAGTCATACCACTAAACTAGTCTAGAAAAGTTTTTTTTTAAATTTGAGACAACAGAAGTTTAATGATTTTAAATATATATCTCATGATGTAAAGATGAGAAGATGTAGTATGATTGCCAATTCGAAAACTACCCACCAGAGACCAAATGACGTAGTTGTAAGCAACTATAAATCACCGTACGGCCTTCACATTTAACAAAACCATACCATATAGTAAACTGTGACAAACCCCGACATGACAAAATGTAAAACAATTCAAACGAGAAAACTAATTGCCTCATTTATATACAAAACAACAAACGAAAAACAAATATGATAGACAGCAAAATAACGGAAACCATTGGATAACCGGTTCCTGACTTGGGATTGCACATACAAAATGTGGCGAAGTTGTTTGCGAGCTCTAAACCCTCCAACTTTCGTGTAACAGCACAACACAAGAGAGTAAATTGGTGCACGCACCAAATCTTTGGGTCGGAAGTAAGGAGGTTTTTGGTGTAAAAAAGTGTAAAATGCTCAATTACCAGAACTGTTCCAATCCAATTAGTTATGATAATGCTATAAAATATTACTAAATTGTGCAGTTGATGAAATCGAATATCATTTAAGTGCAGTTGATGAAATGGAATATCATTTCATTCATTTTCAAGTCTTGATTTTGAAACTCGTGACCATCAAAGTTGCATATACTGACAAAATATTTGTATTCCTCATCTCAGATATGGACTTTAACGCAGCCTTTCACCTCATTTTCTCATCAATGAATGTTATGTCAAGATGGCTTATTTTTTAGGACCCTCCTGACTATAAAAGATGCATCTGCTGACAAAATATTATTTCTCCACGAGTTGTATCTTAGATATGGACTCTAACGCAAACTTTAATCAGTCACTCATATTTGAAATGTAGGTCAAGATGACCTTATTTTTATCAGGACCCCTTGGTTATTCAAGACGCATCTATGAACAAAATATCATGAACTATGACTTATACTTCCAGAGTTAGATGGACTTTAACTTTGTGATGGACATATGAAACACTATATCCATTCCCAAACTTCGTTTGACAAAAGATATAAAAATCTTAAACCAAACAGATGTCAAATTATTCCTCTCAGTAAAGGTTGAGAAATCCTCGACTCTATTCGGTTTTGGTGAAATTTTAAAGTATCAACAAACAGACATAAAAATATGAATGTAGCTTTGTATGATATTTAACAATGAATTCTGCTCAAACCGATGCGAGGGGTCAACTGGAACTTATTACCAGTTATGAGGAATATTGCTCATTATTGAATGCCTCATAGTGACTTGAAGATGAATGACAACAATAAAAA